GATCTTGCGATCTGATTGGTTTGCGGCACAAAAAAATCACGTGCCCGTGATTTTTTGATGGTTACGCTGGGGTAGTTTGTCTATATTGCTTTTGATCTCATGCTACTGCAGAAGGAATGCGATTCACACATGGTTTTCATCCTAAAATGGTTGGATAAAATGTAAATGTTAAGATTAAAAACCAAAATTTTCAGCATTTAACGTAACAATCACCAATTAAAACAATCGATATTAGAATTGAAGAAATGGAAAATACACAACTCGAAGGACCCACTGATGCTGTTGAAGCTGCTAATTTTTTTGAAGATCTTTCCAAAGATCTTTTGCACGTTTTTGAAGATGAAAATGATTATGATATTATTATTCAAGCTGGCAATGAATCAGACTTCACGGATTTTAAAGCTCACTCCCTTATTTTACGAGCTAGATCTCGCTACTTTAAATCAGCTTTATCTGATAGATGGGCCAAAAATAAAGAAAATATTTATTGTTTTCAAAAACCAAATATCTCCCCAGCTGTATTTCTTTTAATTTTACGGTATATTTTGATATTATGTAAATTCTTATATATATATATATTCAACATCCTTTTAATTAATTATGTAATTTTAAAGATATATTTATACAGGAATTCTTAATTTACAAAATCAATCTTGGTCTAATATCTTTGCTCTCTTATTGCTGCTGATGAATTATTGCTTGATCGATTGGTTGATTATGTGCAAAAATATGTAAGGCATTATATCTACTTATATACGTAAAGCATTAATTATTTTAATATAATTTGCAACTTAAATATATAACATAATAATAAAATTGTAATTTAAAAATTAAATATTGCAGCTCATTAATTACGGATCTATTTGGCTTAAAAATAATTTTGTTATGGTTATGTCTGCCGTCTTCAAGACACAAAGTTTTAAAGAAATTCAAAATTATATTATAACTCTTGACCCACCAATAGATTCAGATTCTGATGTTCTTGCAATTCTTAATATTGCTGATGAATTTGCTCTTAGGGAATTTATTGATCGAATTCAGAGACTTGTAAGTTTGTATACCTTTAATTTCGTTTTTTTTTTTATAAAGTGAGGCCTGGCCTCGGTCTTACTTTAATTTCGATTTACATATTATATAACGATAAAATTTATATATTTTTTAGCTTATTAGAAATCAACCCTCTTGGCTTAAAACAAATTTAGTTAATTTTTTGTTCAATGTCGTTAACCTAAAAAGATGTGAAAAGTTTCAAGATTCAATTATAGAAATTATCAATCAAAAAGAACTCTCTTGGCTTAAAGAAAATATATTTGTATACCTGTGGGACATTGTCAATTTCAAAAAATGTAAGAAACTCCAAGATTATATATTTAAGACGATTTGTGTAGATCCAGAACCATTATTATTTGAGTTAGAAAACTTTCCACGATTAGAAAAAGAGATTTTTTTAGAATTTATTAAGAGGGACGATCTAGTTATTGAAGAAATAGATGTTTGGGATTATTTAGTAAATTGGGGAAAGGCTCAGTTGACTTCTGTGAGATGTGAAATTTCTTTACCTAGGAGAAGATTTGTTAGTACAAATGTTGCTAGTTGGGGGAAGAATGAATTTTCATTATTTAAAAAGACAATAGGTCCACTTATAAATTATATTCGATTTTGTGAAATGTCGCGGGCTGAATTCTATCACCATGTTATGCCTTATGAAAAAGCATTTCCGGAAGATCTTTACAAAGAATTAGTTGCTTATTTCATGGCCGATATTAGACCACAACTTGTTAGGTTGCAACCACGTGTCGAAATGATTAGTATTGACTCCACTATCATAAATAGGAAAAATGCTTGGACCATTGTCAAGTGGATCAAAGAAATAGATGCTTTTACCAAAAAACCTTCTTACAAGTTTATACTTAATTATCGAGCATCCCGCAATGGATTTGGTTACAATGATGGATTTGATTACATTGAAATTATTGACAAGTTTAACGATCATAAACAAGGCATGCTAGCTGTGTTAATTAAAATTAAAGATTCTGATAGAATAATTGGTGGATACCATAATTATTATAAGATTAACGTTAATGGCTTTTTATCCATAAAAAGAAATAATGGATTCTTCTATTTTGAAAATAGAACAAACTCTAAATTTCATAGTGAAAAACGTGAAATAGTTATGAATAGGTGGCTTATAAAAGATTATAAAAAATTAGATCATCAATCGGTATATTTTGGAGATGATTTATTGTTTAGGCCGCTCAAAGTTGATTAGTTGGTTAACGTCAATATTTTGGGCTCAGGTACGGGGGGGGAGGGAAAATTTAAACAAACACATATGTTCCCAAGAATATTTGATCAAATCTTATTGGTCAACCTTAATCACATGATTAATGAAGTTTATACTGTGCTGTGATTGGCTTGTTTAATTTTGGGGGAACAGTTAACCGAGAGGGGGATGATGTTAACCAACTAATAAACTTTGAACGGCCTTATCCAGGATAAGTCGTTGTCTGGTTCAATTCTTTTTGATAATACAAATATTACCGCTGGAGAAATCGAAATATTCGAAATTAGGGATTAGCTTAATTTATTATTAAAAATTTTGCCATGCTACTCTAACAAACCTAAATTCTCAATTTATTTAAATAAGCTAAAAACTTATATTAGTTTCTAAATATATATAAATATAATTAGGCCATAAAAACTTATATCTGTGTTTATAATTTCTGAAACATCTGATAAGAATTAGCCGAGTGATTTTTCGACTGATTCAAATAATTTAGATCCGGCAATTTCATAAATTTTGAGCCAAATGAAAAAATTGCCCAAGACTAAGTCGATAAGTTTGTATTTCACCAACATCGGTGACTTATAGATTCAAATACTGTAGCTTATTGATTCGGTCGGAAAATTTTTCAGTTGTCTCCAAATTTATAAAAACAACTGTAATATAAATATTATAAGACTAGTACAATACGTACTGTATGTACTAGAGTCGTTGGTGAAACTAAATTGTGCTGGTGAAATTGGTGACTATCTAAAATCTGATTGGCTATTGCGCTTAATAGCCAATCATATTTTAAATAGTCACCAGTTTTACCAGCAACTCTAGTACGTACGTCTTTGGCTGAATACAAAGTATTATCCTTCAAAGTATCTTAGCTGGCAAATAATTGAAAACAGATTTTCCTATAAATCGGATTCTCAAACTCTTTCAGAAATATAATTAAGGTTGGGCAAATTTTTTAAGTTATATTTTAACTTGCATACCTTATATTAAGACACTTATTGTAACTAATATGTAACTTACATGGAAAATTTGAAAATGCCCAACCCTAGATATAATGTATTAAAAAAACTTATGTCACTTTCAGAAAACTGCGTTTGCTAAATCTGAATGATATATCTTAAGACTTTATAGCAGTTTTCATAAATCCTGGAATATATAGTATAAAATTGACCAAATGATTTTGACCGATTCAATAAGCTTTTATTCGCCATTTGGTTTGGGGTGAGATTCACATATAAGACAATAAATTCTTTTTAATACGTTAACATATTCAATATTAAATTTTTACTTAAATGCATGTCTAGTATGTTTTGTGTGTTTAACCTGTACAAAAATTTATGGTGAAAACTGTTTTTGCCAACCAACAGATCTTAACCAAAAAAAGTTCTGAATATACAGTAATATTGTATAAGGCAATAATAAATAACATTTGCATATTAACGTATTTTCTTTGTTTTAAGAAGGCACTTACGAAGATTGGAAACACCAATTAATATTATATCATATTATAAGAAAATAATATGCATAAATATTAGTATGTTGGAATATTCATAAAAAGTATATAGTTTTTATATAAGAATTCTGATTATAGTACAAAAACTAACTATAAAGACATTTTGCAATAAAGTATAAAAAATCTTGGATTTATTTTAATAATTACAAAAATAATTTTTTTTATTAGTTAAAATATTATATATGAAGGTTATTTATTTAATAAGTTCATTTTTACAATATATAAAGATTAATACATATCATTTCAATAACTTTTGATCAAATAGTTAATATTTATTTATACTAAATTAATTTTGATTTATATTTTCACATAATAGTTCTGACAAGTTGATTTAGTATAAAATATAAAGTATTTGGACACGACTAGTCAGTGCCCCATGCACTTTGTGCTCTTTACTATAAAATTGCTAATATCTCGAAATTTTGACTAGGTAATCCTGTCATGTAACATAAGCAAAAATATTCCTCACGCAATTTTACTTTACTCTAACCCTAATTCTAATTCTACTCATAACTTAACCCAATTTCTATTGCAGGCTCAATTTTGCAATAGAGGCTGTTTAGATTTATCCAAAGTGGAACATATATTACTAAGGAATTTTCAGAAACTATTTTTTAAAAAAAGTGAAAACAAGCATATTTGCAAATTGAATAAATAATTTATAACTATATATCAAGTTACAAAAACATATCAAGAAAGATATAAGTAACTCAAACAATAGACTATGCATTAATAGTTCTATTTAACAAAAATAATTATTTTACTATTAACCTTGAATTTGTTTAGATAATCTTATATATATGAGCTACTATCAATAGAAATTATATTTTTAAAAAATATCAATATTTTAACTTTTATAGCTTATATCTTGCTAAATTTTGAAGTCATTTTGATTATTTAATATTCAAAAATTTTTTAACGAAAATATTAAAAACATTTCGCCATACCATCTGCCGTCAATTATTCGTATTTTAGATAATCATGTATACTTTTGGGCCAAGTTCGGTGAATCGAAAGTTAGTGCATCAATATACGGATTTTCCTTTTTATTATTCAAATACGTCTTCAAGAGTAAAAAAATTTTTATGAGGATCAATATTTTAAGAAAATTTATTCTATATCTGATCTCGTAGTCTTATTGCCAAATTCATGTTGCAAAATTTTTCTGCTATGATTATTTATCTTGATTAATCATGACCAAAACTTGTTTTATTGAATGTTATAAGAGTAACAGAGAAAATCTTTGTACATCAATAATGCCAAGTCATAAAGCAGACAAACATTCGTGACAGATGTCAAAATATTAGTGTAGATAGATAGACAAGCAGATAATAGATTATAAACTAATATTGCATAATCCTAATTTCGAATATTTCAATTTCTTCCGCCGTAATATTTGTACCATTAAAAAAAATTGAAATGTTTTCAGGTCTTGACTCTTTAAGAAATTTCAAGTAACCATTTCCAAAATCTATCGATGAAGACCCAAGACTACTACAGAATTTTACACGACAAGACGTATTAAAATTAGAGTCTATTACACTTCCAAAACCAAAGACAAGCCCATCAACACTAAAATTTACATTCATTGGAAATGAGTTAATGGTATTAATTAATTTGGAATTCAGATATAGATGCGAAAAAGTAACTCACTTAGGTTTATTACCAATGTATCCACCAATTATTCTATCCGAATCTTTAACTTTAATCAACGCAACTCGTGCATAACCTTTCAGCTTGCAAATAAGTTCTATGTGATCAAATTCACAACGAGTCGCTCGGTAGCTAAGTATAAATTCGTAAGAAGGTTGTTTGGTAAAGACAGCTATTCCTTTGATCCACCTGACAATGGCCCGAGAATTTTTCCTATTAATGATGGCGGAATCAAGATTAGCCATTTCTACGCGTTGTTGCACCCTAATACGTTTTGGTTTAATATCGGCCATGAAATAAGCTACTAATTTTTTATAAAGATCTTCCGGTAATGCTCTTTCAAAAGGCATAACTTGATGATAGAATTCAGCCCGTGACATTCCACAAAATCGAACATAAGTAATAAATGGTTCTATCTTTTTTTTAAATCGTGAAAATTCATTATCTCCCCAGCTAGCGACATCCGTATTAACAGGTTTTTCATCAGATAGAGAAGTAAGTTGAGCTGTTCCTCATTTTACTAAATAATTCCAAACATCGACTTCTTCAATACCTAGATCATCTCTCTTAATAAATTCCATAAAAATTTCTTTTTCTAATGTTGGAAATTTCTCTAACTCAAATAATAATGGTTCTGGATCTATACAAACAGTCTTCATGATATAATCTTGGATTTTTTTAAATTTTTTGAAATTATTGATATCCCACAAATATACAAGTACATTTTCTTTAAGCCAAGAGATGTTTTGATTACTAAAAACTTTTATAATTGAATCCTGAATTTTCTCGCATCTTTTAAAGTTAACGACATTGGATAAAAAATCAATAAACCTTTCTTTAAACCAAGAAGGTTCATTTCTAATAAACTAAATGAAATATTTAAATTTATTATTAAATAAGATGTAAATCGAAATTAAAATTATATATATACGTTATGTAGTAGACTTACAGATTCTTTAATCCGTTCAATTAACTTATCAAGAGCCAATTCATCAGCAATACTAAGAACTGCAAGAATATTAGAATATGAATTTACTGGTGGAGCAAGTGCTGTTGTAACGTAAGATTGGATTCTTTTAAAACTTTGAATCTTAAAGACGGTAGACATAACCATAACAAAATTATCTTTAAGCCAAGTATTTCCGTTTTCAATGAGCTACATTATATAATTTTTAAAATTATAATTTTATGAAATTATATCAAAATAATGAACGTTTTATGTATATAGAGGTATATAGATATAATAGCCTTACATATCTTTGCACGTAATCAACCAATCGATCAAGCAATAATTCATCAGCAGCAATCAAAAGATCAAAGATATTAGGCCAAGATTGGTCTTTTAAATTAAGAGTTCCTGTATAAACATATCTTTAAAATTACATAATTAGTTAAAAATATGGTAAATATATTATATATAAGAATTCATATAATCTCAAATATACTTTACTGCAGAATTAAAAGAAATACAGCTGGAGAAATATTTGGTTTTTGAAAACAATAAGTATTTTTTTTATTCTTGACCCATTTATCGGATAAAGCAGTTTTAAAGTATGGGGATCTAGCTCGTAAAATAATTGAATGAGCTTTAAATTCCTTGAAGTCTGATTCATCTCCGGCTTGAATAATAATATCATGATCATTTGCATCTTCAAAAAGATACGAAAGATCTTTGGAAAGATCATCAAAAAAGTTGGCAACTTCAGTTGTTCTAATTGAATCAGATGAAAAATCCATTGCTTTGATTAAAAAAGATAATTGTTAGAAATTTTTTAATATCGATATTGAATAAACATATATATATATTAAAAGAGCAGCCACGCGTACCTTCCTGCTGCAGTACGTAACGTGGGAAGATCAAAATTGTAATAGATCGAGATTGATTAATTACAGTAATGTGATCACCAAATTCAGCAAACGACATGCAGATTACTGCCGACCCGTTCCGGAAATCTATAGCAATAGCGATATTTTTCTAAAATCTGTGCTTATATTGTATATTTTAAATTTGTTAAAACTTCAGTCGAAAAATTTCTCGAAAACCACTTGATCAAATTCGATAAAAATTTTTTATTTGCTTCTGCATAACTATAGAATTCAAATAAAAAAATGTTTATTGAATTCGGATAAGTAGTTATTGAAATGTTTTCTATTAATTTTAAAAAATTAAAGTATTGCAAAATTTTTAACCAAATTTTAATCGAACAAATTCGATGAAATTTTTTTGGCTAATTTTGCAGAATATAGAATACAAATGATATTTTCATAAATAGCTGCGCGACATTATTATACAAAACCGAACCAGGAACATATGAATATAACTAATCGTAATTGCAGGTAGTGTAGCCAAAGGAAAACCTGTAAATCATATGGGCTAATTTGTTTCATTGGACCTGAATGGAGTCACTAAATTTAATCTAAACCCCTTGTTTGATTTGTTGTTATTGGTCTGACGAATAATTAGGGTAT